TTGCTTTTGGATAAAATCTTGTTGACGATGTACAGGCATTGTTTCTAATCCCTAAACACCTGAGATATAAGGAAGATAATCCCTTGCTAACCCCTTTTGAGCCTTTGAAGCAGAAGTTTCTTTTCTATACGAAAAAACCTTGAATTTTAACCTGGAGCAGAGTAGTTTTTAGTTAATCTGACTGAGTGTTCAAAATTTATAAGGAAGATGTTTTTTTGAAGAAAAACTACGAGGGTTACCCTCCATGTATAATGAAGCTAGAGGATGTGGAACCACAATGTTATCCCTCATTCATCAAGAAACGAGGCAATCACAATCCTCTCAACAAGCAAATACAAGCTAATGTCACCTGTTTTGTTCAAAAATCAAAAATCAAGAAAAAGAAAAAGCCTGCTAAGTCAAAAAACATGAAAACGTGTGACTTAGGCAAAATTAAGGCATCCTTCTGGACTATCAATTCAAAAGAATTAGTTCAGGCAAAAGTTAGGGAAAATAAAAATTGCAAAGAAAGGACTACAAAGAAAAGTCCTCAGCAAAGAACAAATTGGTGACTACAAACACGAAGACATAAGGGTGGTTTCTATTCCGAAAGCCTCGTCGTTTCCTTAACCGTCACAAAATCCTTTTGAGAGATGAACACTCATGTTGAATTAACTGAACATAGGGTTGGAGAACATCATGAAGAATGGGTGGGCACCTATAAATTTTGAGCCTTAAAAATCTTTTTCTAAAAAACCATGAACCAGGCCACGTTACAACCTTCAAAAGTCCTAATTGAAGCAAGGTTATTTTGAAAGCATACTTCAATGAGATAGTGTTCCTGACTCCCATGAATGTTCTAAATAGTTATGTTGGTATCATATGTTTTTCCTATACAAAAATAAATGGTGCTTTAACTCGCAAAATTTGTGCGATATCTTTCAAAATCTTCAAGACTTACATAACTGTTGCATTAGAATTTTCATTCTCATTGTAAACTTTTTCTAACTGCAAAACATTTGTTTGATATCAAGGAGGCTCATATAAGCACCAGTGATGAGTTTATTCTTTTAAGGCCTGAAACTATGTTGAGTAATTGGCGGATCACGTCAAGAAGAAATCATATCCATGGGCATGTCACCTAAAGACCGTAAACACGAACATGTTGCTTCTCCCAGTTAATGCTTTCCCAACTTGTTTACTCTTTTGGGGCAAAAATTTGAAGACTTTGTTGTGCCGACTACAGTCAATCCGGGGCAATCACATCGAGATTTGATGAATCTCTCTAAGAGTTTGAAGACACCAGAGCATAGTGAATGCCAGGTCTTTTGTAAAATCCTCTTGAGACGATTTCTCCTTATCAACCATATAGCTTGGGGCATTTTAGAAGTGAAGCTATTCGCAAGAATTGTCGTGCAACATGCAGCTCATCAGCAGTAAACTTGGGGCATCCAAAATTAGTCCCAGGGGCAATCTAGATTTGTCAAGATATGTGATATGTATTGCACACATTATCAGAGGGTGGTGTTCCCAGTATCTCCAGCTAAGCATGACTTTTTCCAGCTGAATCATTGTTCGTGTTGTTATCCTTTCAATGGATTGTCGACAATAGAAGACTGGACTTTGGGTTTTCTACCTGAAAATATCTTCCTCTCCAAAGAGATTTAAGCCTTGTAAAAGGACTTTGCTCCAATGATGGTTTTTGTCTTCTATCTCCAGTAATGTTCCCATCTTGTTGAGATTAGCCGAGTGTCGGGTTGTACTGTGATGTCTTCTGTCCATCTCCCCTGCCTGTTTTGTCAGCATATACATGACATTCATTTATTCATTCGCACTTGCATCATGCATGCACAGCTGTATTTGTTGATGTCTTAAAGTCCGTATACCTTGGTTATGTCTATTCAAATAGTGTATTTGATCTTTCCAAATAGAGTGTCAACTTAAGAAGAAAGTGCGCCTCCTTCCTAATTCCCCACTGAGTTAACTCTCGTGGAAGAATCTTGCTTTAGCTTTCCTTTTCCATCTCTGGATAAGATAAATCCCTATTTGAGTTGTTTCCTCATTGGGTGGAGTCTTGTTTGACTGTTTTCTCTCCAGTTTATTCCTGGATTGAGTTTTGTCTCTTGTGAACGATACCCTGTGGATCTCTCTAGGCTATGAAACCTAGATGGAGAGTGCATTGATCTTGCGTATGTAAATACTTGGTCTCCTCAGGAAGGATTTATTCATGGTTCCCCATTGAAGATGAACTTTATTCCCTAGTAGTGTTATCACAACCTTCTTCTGGAATATCGACATGACAACAAGCGACTGACTCTTTATTTGAGCAGTTTGATTATTTCTGATTTCTCTACGACAAATGGCGGTCTCTTCATGAACAGTTTGTCTATCCTCGATGAAATTATTGATTCTCACCTCCAGCAATATCTTCATGATATTTTATGGGTATCTTTGAGAAAACAGCAAGCGGCAGTCTCTTCATGGACAACTTGTATGTTATCAACACTTTTTAAAAACAGCAAGCGACGGTCTCTTCACGAGTAACTTGTGTGTTATTGTTATCTTTTAAAAAAAACAGCAAGTGGCGGTCTCTTCATGGACAACTTGTATGTTATCAACACTTTTTGAAAATGGCAAGTGGCAGCTTCTTTATGAGCAGCTTGTGGATTTTTGGCAACAAGTGGCAGCTTCTTCATGAGCAGCTTGTACGTTAGTATTTTTGGAAGACAGCAAGTGGAAGCTTTTTTATGAGCAGCTTGTGGATTTTTGGCAACAAGTGGCGGACTCTTCATGAGCAGCTTGTGTGCTTTAATATTCTTTGAAAACAGCAAGCGGCGGTCTCTTCATGAGAAACTTGTATGTTATTGTCACCTTTAAAAACAGCAAGTGGCGGTCTCTTCATGAGCAGCTTGTATGTTATTGACACCTTTGAAAGGAAGCAAGTGGCGGCCTCTTTATTTGAGTAGCTTGTGTATCCCCAACAATAATGTTTACTCAGCAAATGGCATCCCTTCGGAAAAGTCCCGTGGGGAAGTTTGTTATTTTATCCTTTTCAAGCGATATCTTGGTTAAAGAAGAAATGTGTTACCATTCTTGGTAAAATTCAGAAATCAGAGATGTTTATCTCCAGCCACAGTGCTGATGTCAATCATTTTGTTTTCCAGCCACAGTACTGATGAAAATCATTTCTTTTCCAGCCACAGTGCTGATGTAAATCATTTCTTTTCCAGTCTCAACACTGATGTAAATCATTCAAGAGTCTCTCATTTGAAGTCTATGACTTTGTTTCCCCAGTGGTGTCATAATTTGTTCCCCTGTAGGATTACTATAATATGCTTGGTTTCTCCAGCATAGTTTGTCTCATATGGCGTCATTCCCCATAAAATTCAAAACATCACATTCATATCATATCGTAAACATAATCGCGGTATCTTAAGGCCAAAAATTGTGTATTCTATATTTAAGTCCCTTCAATCTCGTTGAAATGAAGATCCCAATCTTCATATCTCCAGATAGAAGAAACTTAAATAAGGGCAGCTGTTGTACCCCAATTTTTCACCTAAGATCCCATTTTTATTTTTGCATTTTTTAAGATAGGTCAAGGTCACGAAATACAGTCGGTTTTAATCTCTCACCTTCAAGCATTGACTATGCGAAGGTTGTCAAGTGTTTTGAACATTTTTAACCTATGTATCACTAATTTCTAATCCATACAAAGGTGTATGTTCATGTTTTCTTTTGCTTCATGTGCAGAGACAGGTCTGAATCAAGAGCATCAGGTGTCGCGCCTCAATTAAAGTTTTGAGTCTCCCAAGCCCGAAGTACGGTTGATTGTGGATTCTCGAAGACTGATTCATCAAGGCACAACTGTTGCACCCTAAAGTTCGCCCCTAATATGTTTTAGTCGCACTTTCATATCATATTTTGTTATTTGGTCACAATCATTAGTAAATATTTTCATTCATCGTATTTTGCATCATTAGTCGTATTTAAGTTGACCAGAAAAGTCAGTTTAAATCAAAGTTTGCATCGTCTTTTAGTTAAAAAATACTTGACATTTCACTTCATGCATTTTTATCTCTTTACTCGTTTCTTGCATTGCTCCAAGTTGTTTATATGTTGATAATAAAAATATTTTGGTTTTATAGACAAACTGTTAAAAACGATTCAACAATGTGCGAAAATTAGTGAGAAAAAATATTTCAAGTTTTCACCTTTTACTGATCATTTTATGAATCTGCGTTTCGCGTAGATTATGACGGTATTCTCGCTTTATTTTTTCGATACAATTTGAAGTCTCGTTTTTAACCGTAAACATCTGTTTTAGCCCGATATTTTCATTATCATTTTATTTTGATTTCGACTTTTTGAATATTTTTTATTTAATCTTTGTGACATGTAGTTTATTTTAATGTGTTCGTTTTATTTTTTCGGATAAATTTTCGTCCATTTTTTTATTGTTTTCGGTCATGTTAGCTCTTTATTTTTTATTCAAAAAAATATATTTTTAAATTGAATTAATTTTAATACATTCAATTTTTTATTTCATTTTTATCATTTAAGGACTTTTTGGTCACAAAAAAATATTAATTAGGCTTCGCTTAATTCTCATTGGTCGATAGCATGGTTTGCGGATTGATAGAGATTGAATTTATATTGAACGGCTTGGATTTATTTTGAAATCATAATATTCCTCTTCATTTTCTCTATTTTAAGCATCTTTATCACTTTGTACAAAAGGAGGAGACACAAAAAAAGCAAAAGGCAACTCACAGCAATATATCTCCCTCTCATCTTCAATTTCTCCATAGCAGTAAACTCTCTTCCTCTCGCCACATACCCCCCCTTTTATCTCCTTCATACTCCCAATTAAAACAACACAGTAATTACATCCCCCTCTCTTTTTTGGCATAATCCTTCCTCTCTTCAATTACTGTAAACAAAATCCATTCTCTCTTCACCATGGCACCGAAACTTCCACTCACCCTCTGCATTTTCGCCATCTGGGCCATTCACTTTACCTACGCCGCTTCATCATCACACCACGCTCCATCACCCTCTGTTGACTGTTCAACCCTTGTTCTCACCATGGCTGATTGTTTATCATTTGTTACAAATGACAGTACCATAACCACACCAGAAGGAACATGATGTTCTGGGTTGAAATCTGTCTTGAAAACTGCTCCTTCTTGCCTATGTGAAGCTTTCAAAAGCAGTGCTCAGTTTGGTGTTGTTTTGAATGTTTCAAAAGCACTCACTATCACCATCCCAACTGTCATCTCACCGTTACCGTAATCCAACCTCTCCATCTCCATCCTTCAATTCCTCACCAATTAACTTCCGCCCTTCACCATCAACATACAGTAGCACACCTCCATACTGCCACCATCCAAATTTCCTCTCCGCCTACTGCACTCACCCAACAGACCTGCCAGCGCCAAATTCCGCAAACAAACCCCAACCTCCCTTCTCCCTCATTTACGTAATCACCTCCGATCAATTCTTCCTTCCGCTCACATCTGCGATTCACCGCACAACATACTCCATAAACCTCCTAATCAACAACATCAAAATCTTAAACCAAACCCGGAACCGATACTTTAAACAATTACAGAGTTGAGCCAAATAAGCAAGGTTGGTTGAGGAGTTTTATCAAGCACCTCGCAAGCATGGAGATACATTCAAATTTGCAAAGCCATAAGCAATGACAACTCCAAAAAAGCAACATCAACAAGGAAATACAACAACAAAACACAAAAAGGAAGTGAAGATAAAATCAGATTCAGAGTCATATTGCTTGACTCATCACCACCGCAAGAAGCCAACGTCTACGACATGTTCTCGCCATATTTCTCACGCTGAAAACAGCCATCACACCGGTCACTCCGCTACGATGCATAATAGACCAACCACAACCCTCCAATCTCAGATTTGTGCCGCTCTCCGTGATGCAACCCTCCATCGACCACCACAGCGGAACAACGTCTCCACCAACGACCAACCACACCTAGCCATCATTCGCTTCACTACAGCTCCAACAACCCACCACGAACGCCCTCTGATTTCGACAATCCTTGTGGCTTGATTTTGTCGGTATTCCTCTTGCTTCCATTTTTGATTTATGTTTGTTTACTAATATTTTTGGTTACTGTAATTTGCATTTTATGGTGAGGAATTGAGATTTTGGGTTTCACAACTTTTCCTTCTCTGATAACCTTTATCTATGTTATTGATATTATTTTAATTTTTCTTTTCCTTATTATATGCCTTGTCACGTGATAGCCAGACATTAGTAAATAGAGTTGAAATGCAACCAGGGACGAATTCTCCCCTTGTTACTAATTGCCTAACCTTTTCTTCTTCTTTTAATTATTTAAAACCATTACTCTATTTTATTGTTTTATTTAAAATATAAAAAAATATATACAAAAAAGCATTAGTTTAGTTTTATTAATCCAATTATTAGGATTTCAACTTAGATTAAGTTATTTATTTTAATCTTATAAAAAAAAATCTAAAAAATTACAAAAGCAATTTTCTTTTTGCTTTATTAATTAAAAACATAAAAAAAAATATTCTTTTTATTTCACTGCCTTTAAGTAATTAATTTAGGAATTAATTTTTCTTCTTTCATTAGTATATATTATTTAATAAAAATACAAAAAAAATTGATTAGTTACCTTAATTAGATTTTCTTAGATTAATTTATGTTAGCATATTTTCTTATTTAATATATAAAAAAATATATAGAATATGTCTTTAGTTTTTTTTAGATAAAACATAAATTTGTACTAAACTTTTTAGGGCTTACCGATTAATCATTATTCCTTTATAAATAAGTCGATAAAGTATGTTATGATGAGTTTTCGATTATTTCTCCGCCATGTGTGGATGAAAGTTATTTTATATATTCATGGTTAAATCCAAGGGAAATGTTTTGTTAACTTCATAAGTAATACGATTGCGCGAACCCCTTCATTCATTTTTTTGCTTGGTTGATATTTTGCTAAACTCAAGATAATTTTCCAAAAGACTCAATTTTAAAACTCACACCTTTTAAGTCAAAAACTTCGACATTAGCTCGTCGGATTTTCAAAAATCTCGTCCACACCTATTTTTAATCAAACAAACAATTTTAACCAAAAAACAGATATTTCAAAAGGTTCCTGCGGAGTACCGCAGATGCATTGGGTGCTAATACCTTCCCATTGTATAACCAACCCCCGAACTCTCGATCTCTTTCAAAAACGCATTGTATTTTTATTACTTTTAAGTATTATTTTACATTGCATATTTTAGGGTTTTATTTCGCTCTTTTCCCTTTTCCCTTGGAAATAATAAAGCGCGGTGGCGACTCTTGCTTTTGCGAGTCAAGTTAATTAATAGCTTGATCTCCGATTTTCACCGCTACTCATGAGACTGACCAATGCTGGGCACTAAAGAATAAAATTCAGGACTTGATCGATAATAATACCATTGAATTTGATCCTCCTCCAACTCCGAATGTAATCACCACGCCTATGCCAAAGCATGGCAAGGAAGTCAATGATGTAGGTGATTCTGATGATGAATGTGCATTTGAAGATTGGGTGTATCCTACTACAACGGAACTCAACAATTGGAAAGCAAAGGACTTCGTTCCCATCTCTTTCATTGAGGAGTAATCACTTGTTTTGTTCTTTCTTATTAATTCAAGAACATTTTGTCTATAATATTTAACAATGACTTTTAAGCCATGTACCTGGCCCGGGGCACTTCGGTCCATTTGTCAAGGGTTTCATTTATATTCATCTTATCATATGATCATTCAATATAAACCATTGGACTCTTTTTCATTCAAATATTTGTGTTCATTGTATTTATTTTTCTTCAAATACATTTTTCAAAATAGCCATGTACCTTACATGCACACAGACACACACACACTGTTGCAGGTCCTCATCCACTCTGGATCTTATTGCCAATGACTCTACTATTGTCGACTATGACTTCGAATGTCCAATTAACCAAGCTGAAGACGAAGGCGGGGAAGATTGTGAAATACCAGGAGAACTAGCCAGACTTCTATTACAAGAGGAAAAAGCTATTCAGCCGTACGAAGAGCCAGTTGAAGTCATCAATCTAGGTACCGAGACAGACAAGAAAGAAGTTAAGATAGGTGTTAACCTGGAAATCAGTGTCAAAAGCAGATTGGTTCGGATGTTGCATGATTATGTGGAAGTGTTTGCTTGGTCATATGAAGATATGCTAGGGTTGGATACCGTTATTGTAGTTCATTGTCTGCCGACAAAAGAAGATTGCCCTCCTGTCAAACAAAAGGTTCGTCACATGAGGCCTGACATGTCTGAAAAGATAAAAGCTGAAGTGATAAAACAATTTGATGTAGGATTCCAAGCTATGACATCTTATCCCCAATGGGTTGAAAATATGGTGACAGTGCCAAAGAAAGACGGAAAAGTTCATATGTGCGTAAACTATAGGGATCTGAATAGGGCAAGCCCCAAGGATGATTTCCCTCTACCTCACATTAATGTCTTGGTCGATAATACTGCTCAACATAAAGTCTTCTCTTTCATGGATGGTTTCTCCGGCTATAATCAAATTAGGATGGCTCCCGAAGACATGGAGAAGACCACTTTCGTTACGCAATGGGGCACCTTTTGCTACAAGGTCATGTCGTTCGGGTTGAAGAATGCAGGGGCAACATATCAAAGGGCTATAGTAGCTTTGTTTCATGATATGATTCATCATGAAATAGAGGTCTATGTGGATGATATGATTTCCATATCACAAACTAAAGAGGAGCATCTCGATCACCTGTACAAGCTATTCGAAAGGTTGAAAAAGTACAAGTTGAGGTTAAACCCTAACAAGTGAACATTCGGAGTATGATCTATAAAGCTTCTAGGTTTTGTTGTCAGTGGTAAAGGTATCGAAGTTGGTCCTACCAAGGTAAAGGCCATCCAAGAAATGCCAGTCCCCCATTCTAAAAAAGAAGTTAAAGGATTCTTGGGTCGTCTTAATTACATCGCCCCCTTCATATCTCACTTGACTTCTACTTGTGAGCCAATCTTCAAACTCTTGAAGAAAGATCAAGTAGTTAGATGGAATGATGAATGCCAAGCTGCCTTCGATAAAATCAAATAATACATGCAAGAACCTCTTATTCTAATGCCTCCAGTTGAAGGAAGACCCTTGATCATGTACTTGACAGTGCTAGAGAACTCTATGGGGTGTGTTTTGGGCCAACATGACGAGTCTGGCCGAAAAGGGCATGCTATTTATTACCTGAGAAAAAGTTTACCGACTGTGAAACCAGATATTCACTGCTCGAGAAAACTTGTTGCACTCTGGTATGGGATGCTCGCCGGCTAAGACAGTATATGTCTACTCATACCACTCTGTTGATTTCTAAGATGGACCGAATCAAGTACATCTTCGAGAAACCTGCTCTTTCCGGACGGATAGCCAGATGGCAAATGATCTTGACTGAGTACGAAATTCAATACACAATGCAAAAGGCCATCAAAGTAAGCGTACTAGCAGATCATTTGGCCCACCAAGCTGTTGATGATTATCAGCCTATGAACTTTGACTTCCCAAATGAGAACATCATGCTAGTTATCGACTGTGCAAAACCTGGACCGTATGACAGACCTGAACAAGGATCCCGATGGACTATGGTATTTGATGGGGCTTCCAACTCTTTGGGTAACAGAATTGGTGTTGTGATCATATCCCCTGAAGTTTTCCACCCTCGTTTCACTTCCAGATTATGCTTCGATTGCACAAACAATATGGCTGAGTACGAAGCGTGCATTTTGGGTCTGAAGGTTTCCATTAATTTGAGGATCAAACATTTGAATGTGTTTGGGGATTCCGCTCTAAATATTATCCAAGTAAAAGGAGATTGGTACACTAAGCACCCTAATCTCATCCCTTACAAGGATCTTGTGTTATCTCTGATTTCTTACTTCGGAGAGATCACCTTTGAACACTTCCCTAGGGAAGAAAATCAGTTAGCCGATGCTTTGGCCACCATGTCTTTAATGTTCAAGTTCAGATGGGACAATGAAGCTCATTTGATTACCGTTGAAAGATTCAACGAACCTGCACACTGATGTGAGCTTGACATTGATACAGAAAATCCATGGTACCATGAGGTGAAGAGATACCTTGAAGCACAAGAGTATCCCGAAGGAGCATTCATCAATGATAGAAAGTTCTTACGAAGATTTTCAGCCAAATTCTTTCTAAGTAATAGGATATTATACAAGCGCAACCATGATTCTACTCTACTCCGATGTGTGGACAAGAAGGAGGCAGAGGAAATTATGGAAGACATGCACGATGGTCTATTTGGCACTCACTCTAGTGGACATACCATGGACAAGAAAATCCTAAGAGCCGATTACTATTGGTCAATAATGGAGACTGATTGCCATCAACGCTATAGGACTAGCTACAAATTCCATATCTATGCTGACAAGGTCCATGTAATCAAATCTACTTCAATATACTTTATAGCTCCATCTAATCTATAGTGTCATAAGCTTTTTGAATACCCATTTGCATCACACATCTAGAAGTGTCACCCTTCCTTGAGTATCCTCTGAGGAATTCATAAGCAAGGAGAATATGGTTTTGAATATGTTATCCATGAAAAAAAGCAGTCTGACTTTGATGAATAATACTCCCCAATACCTTCCCTAATCTGTTTGTGATCAACTTTGATATTAATTTTTAGATGGAAGTACAACATAATATATGCTTGTAATATTTTATGGTCTTTGCTGTTGTGGTCTTAGGTATGATAATTACTAGTGTGATATTGATGTCTTTGTACTTCTTCCTTGTCTCAAAGAACTCTAGGACAAATGCTACCACGTCTTGTTTCACATTGTCCCATGCAAACTTAAAAAACCTAGCTTCATATCCACGGCTTTCAGATCTTTAATGCCTTTCAAAGCCTTATACATTTCTGCTTCTATGACTGTTGCTATAAGTTCACGATTATCAACATTAATGATATGTTTTCCTTATCTCATTTCCAAAATATTTATACTTGTCATTCTACTATATGCT